TTCGCATTTATATCAGAAAAGTTTTTCAATTTTTTTCACCATTGAAGGTATTCATACTCACAACAACTATCAACCAATGCGATGATTAGTGAAATTCATGCTCGTACTAGATTTTCGAAAAAACAAATAAATTTATTTTGTTTATCGAAGGTCATGCAAATTTTCTTTTAAGTTAATTTTTTTATTTACAAGGTTAATAAAGTTTTCGTGGATTACTTCAAAAATTTGAATGAATGATTTTCAAATCAGTTGTCTGAAAAAGTCTAGATACTTTAAAAATATTTCGACTTATCCTAGAAAATAATGAACTTTTTCAATAATTTCAATTTCTGAAATAGTTCTATTACATAAAATCTTCACAAAATAGTATAAAATTATACCCAAAATCTATTGAAATTAAAGAAAGAAGTATTCGAAAAAGAATGATATGTTAATGAGTATATAATATATCTATCTATGTGAAATTATTTTAAAAACTTTTCTATTGTATATCAATGAAATAATTTCCGTATGCAGACAACACCATTTCGTGTTACGGTTAGTAATGATATTGTCAAAGAACTTGATGAAGTTATTAAATTATTCAATATTCAACTAGTAGTGGTATGAAAATAAATTGATTTTGAATAAAATTAAAAAAGAATTATTTTTATTAGATAAATGAACAACAAGCAAATGGTTCATTATTAAATCCTCAAATATTAGAACGGTTTCCTCCGAGTGAACGTCGTACAACATCATCTATAATTCAATGGGTACCACCAATACCAAATTGGAATCCATGGATAGCATCAAATATTGATGAGGGTCCATTAGCAACAGCTACAATGGAATTAATTAGTGGAGATTTACGGCATGCTGAACAATGCAAAATGGAAAATGAATTAAAATGTCGTCTTCAAGAACGTCAAAATTTACCTGTTTTTACTTATCGACAACAAACACTTGAACATATTTAAAAAAATAATGTTATTCTTATTCGTGGTGCAACTGGATGTGGAAAAACAACACAAGTCATTTTAATCAAAATTTTTTCAGAAGATTATTTTTCTATAGAAATTTTTTTGTTTTTTATTTTAGATTCCTCAATATATAATTGATGATGCTATTCAACATAATCAAGGTGCTTTTTGTAATGTTGTTGTTACTCAACCACGTTGAATAAGTGCTATTTCAATTGCTGAACATGTTTCTTGGGATTTGTTTATTTCATAGTTTTTTTTTGTGTTTTAATTTCAATTAAAATCTTTCTAGAACGATGTGAAGATTTGGGTAATTCGTGTGGTTATAGTGTT